TCAGAATAATCGAGTACTAATAATTTTATAAAGCATGAGATTGTGTCGATAAAAATATTATTTTTCATCGAAAAATTATGTTGGCCCACTTGGATGGTAGTAAAAATCGGATTTTCAACCTCGTTTTAAGCAGTACTTGGTTAATTGTAAGCTTTTATATCTGTCGTGTTGCATGTCAGAAAAGTAAGTGTAAAAATTAGCACATAAGCAAAATAAATAAACATGTTGAGTTGAATCCATTTCGATCCATCACAAACATTTTGTTTGAGATTGCATGTATTTTTTACGATTTTAGACTGGAAAAAAAAGTGCTCATTCATACAAATATAAAATAAAAGTAAAAAAAATGTATATACCAATTCTATGAGAGTACCATCTCTCCCATCTCCGCTTTCAACTCACTTCTCCCACGTGCACGCAGATTGCGCGGGAGCGTGTTGCACGTATACGTATTCCGTACAAAGCTCCCGGTGCTGCTGCAGTAAGACGCGGGAACCCCAAGTTTTAAAAACAAAAAAAAAATGGAGGAGTACGAGAAGGGGGTGTGTAGTACGAGCAACGAAAAAGCGTGGAAAAAAAAACACGTGAAAGGAGGAGAAGGAGGAGGAGGAGGAAGGGCGCACGCAAAGCGCGAGAAAGACGCAGCAACAACATCGTGCCTTCGTATATATATATATATGTACCGTCAAGAGGATGAGAGCAGAGTATAAACAGAGGAAAGAGAACCTAGAGGGGATGGGTGGGCCCTCCCTTTACGAGCATGCACTCCCGTTCGCATCCATTATTATTTTTTCTTCTTCCTTCCCTTTGCGCATCACACGCTACCCAGACCCCCTAAATACGCACGCGCGTGTAGAGGACTCGCTCTAAAAAAAGATTGCAGAGACTATACGCTCCCTCTTTCCTTTTTCCCTCCCCCCTCCCCTGCTTTTGATCGTGTTTTGTATTTTGGTACTTACGGGACAGAGGAACAAAGGAGCGAGATGATGGTGGCGGTCGAGCTGAAATTTGACAGTCGCCTTCATCGTCCCCTTCGCGCGCGTTCGTATATTATTACACCTATATGCATGGGACTTGCGGGGAAATATTTTCGGCGCGTCATTAGGGCGCTGCGATGCTTTTATTCAAATTAGAAAAACTGCGGTTTGCTTTCCCGCGGTGGTGGGTGAGTGGATCAGCATTGCTAATTTCGGCTACGACGTTGAGAGAGACAAAGAGTGAGAGGGAGTGGCTTAATTTAGCCTTTCGTCAGGTTAAATTGAGCAGTTTTTAGGGTTCAAGGATTTTTTTTTTCTTCTTCTTCTTCATCTCAAGTATTACGGGACGCGCCATAATATTAGAAGCTCTTTTTCTTTTTTTTCTTTTTTCCTTTTGTCAAGCCCACATAGTCGTCGTGGTGCTTTCTCTGCTACTCGACCGTGATACTAAAGGGCAATGTCCCAGTACTCGCTCACTTTTTTCTTTTATTCACCTTCGCCATATTTTCAATTGGGTAATAAACACGTTAATTTGTACTGAAAAAGTTATTTTTTGGTGTCTGAATAACTACCCTATTTATGTTTTAAAAATTTGTATTGAAAAAATCAGCCAAATGATGGACTATTGGGACATCGACCTTGTGTTAAGCATTTTTTATGCATCCAAACAATTTAAAGTATCGACAGACTCATCAATAAACACACGCGATTACAGATGGCACCAATTTTCAAGACTGTTATTAATTGTTTGTTTTTCCTTGTCACAAAAGCGCCACAAGCAAGAAAGTTTAGTTTAATTGATGGTGAGTGTGGTTGTGGGTCCTGTTATTATTTGTGCTGGTATATGATGGAGAGGTAAGATAAATCACATCTTCGTTGGTCGTAGAATTTTTCTGTGTCGAGGTTATTGTCAAACTCTTGTCGTCGTCGACAGTTTAGCTAATGCAAGTAATCAATTTCATATATTATATGATAACCATAAAATTGATCGTATTATAAACGTAAAAAAACTAGCAAGTTTTATTACATGCTTTTTCTTTGTAAACGGACAACTTTTCAATAGACAAATTATTTCACCCCAATTATTTTACGCCATTCTTAACTAAAAACAAAAAATGTACATTGAATCCAAGGATCAACAAAACCAATACATAACGTAGAATTGGACTTGGCTCGTTAAGACAAATAACGTACATTAATTTGTCGAAAGCGTTTAGTAATCCTCCGCATGAATACGAAAAATATGCTTATTTAGACGTGGTCGCAGTAATTAATTAAATTCCTCTGAAGAATGGCGAACTAAAGAAAATAGACTCATGGAAAGGATGAAAAAAATGTGCGCGTGTTTTGGTACGACAAATAAATAATAAAATCTCTTTCCTTCCAAGCAGAGAAAAGGGATGAGGGTGATGCGTCCTTGAAGAGGTAAGCGACCCGAAGCAAAAATAATAGCCCCATCATAGAGGGATCGTAAATCCATGGGCATACTATGCACCACAGCTGTGTACCGTCGGAATGGCACTTCAGTACACCGACGGAGAACGAGACCCCCCCCCCCGCACGCACTGTTTCTAAAATAGCTGGCGGGAAAACACGTCCTCCCTCTCGCTCCGCTAATAAAGGACCGAAAGTCTGCAAAGGCGACACGCGAAAATAATCATCCCAGCTTTTTCTCATTAGCCTATTTTTCGTAATGCAGGCGCTTTGGGCTACTGCGCGATCAACACCACCACCGAGGTCTGCGACGGTGCTTCTGAATTTACTGACGAAGGGATGAAACATTTTCGCGCCTGGGTTTGTTCTCCCCCCCCCCTGACTTTTTTTGTTCTTCACTAGTGTGATTTGACGATGCAAGTATATAAATATTTCGCAGCTTTAATCATCGTATTCTTATCTGGTTTAGATAATTGAGATATAATAATTTAAAAACAATAAACATTGTAAATCGCATCGAAGAGATAAGCGCTGCTTGAACTGTTGTGCTTTTTTTATTTTTCTCTCCTCTTTTTGTTACTGTTTATTAAAAGCGTAACCAAACGAGTTTACTAAGCGTAACAAGCTACGTGTAAACGAATAACTTTTTTTTTCTTAAGACAACGACAAAATGATTTGTTCTCCCAATTCCTTCTTCTCCGCCTAATAATTGCACGTAGTGCACGAATACGAGATGATGCCGGTCGAACGACTAATCAATAATCCATACGCATAAATAATGAATTTACGTCAATTTAGAGCTTACATCTTAAGTTTACAATATGACGTGTACGAGGAAAACAAACAGCTGAGCTCACGCGAGAACTATCTCTGGTGAAAAAAAAAAAAAAAAAAAAAAAAAAAAAAAAAAAAAACATTTCTCGAATCTCGTGACCTTCGCTATACTGCTGTTGTATGTAGTTCAGAAAAGAAAACATTGGGGCCGATTGTTTTGTTTATATTTTTAGTTTAACGAAGGGGACACAGTATCGTGCTTCGATGTCCAAGTCACGTGGAAAAAGAGTGTTTCCCTCATAAAGAGTTCGATGGTCGAATTTTTAGAGTTTTGTTTAACTACGAATAGGAAATTGTCAACTAAATAATATATGTAGTTGTCGCATAGATGCGATTCAAGTTTTTTTATAATAATTTAATAACATTTTGAAGGAAAAGATGAACTTTCTTCATATTCAGAATCCCATCAGGGCCCTGATCAAACGTTAGAATCGTATACGAATTGATATTGAATAACCGACGCATTGTGGTTGTCAACTTGCAAATAATTCATGACAATATTGTACGTGTACGAAGAACCACGATGATTGACACAACACATGACATGTATTATTGCACCATTTTTGGAGTACTTGAAGTAGTTGTTCATAATTTTATGTATTCGCTTTTCGAGTCGCTTTTTGTCTGGTATGAAAAATTGAGGGGATAAAAACGACGTACAAAAAATATTTTCATCTTTCGCCACTTGATGCGTATAACTTATGTGTAGTGTAGTCCCGTGAAATATTCATTACATATTCTGAAATGTTCCTACATCCCTGGAGGCATGTGAAAGATTTTTGTCTCGATAGGTGCCTCCCAAAAAATTCCATTTACATTTTAGGGAATTTTCAACCAAAATTTTTTGTGGATTTACTCGTATATTGTATCATGTGGAAAAAAAATGGTACGCTGAGGAAATCAAGGAGGAAGTATAAACGTAAAAAAAAAGAAAGTACAGAAATGTTGTTAAAAATAAATCATTCACTGTAATAACGGTATGTATTTAAAAATAAAAAGCTTTGAATTAAGCTACTGAAACACTCACCTTATGTTACACACATGTACACGTAAAAAAGAAAATGCTACTAAATATAATATGATACTCGGCTGAGAGAGCCGCAGACGTGCCAGAGACCAAGGCCGTTGTTTTGCAAATCTCGTCTCTGACGCGTCATACTTACTGACACACAACACTCCCACGCACGAGCGCGGCGGTACAAACTCTCTCGCGTCTCGCCGGCCGGTTTGTCTTACGATGGAACTGTTCACACACATTGGCTTTGAGGCCGATTGCATTTATTACTCATACAGTTCAACATCGTCAGCAGCTACGAGAGAGCAGAGTACTTACGCTACAGTGCATGCAATTGACAAATACTTTACAAAACGTTAGAAGAGAGAGAGAGAGAGAGAGAGAGAGAGAAATGAAAAAAACCAAAAGGTGACTGGTGGGATGCACGCGAAACAAAAAATCAATAATTCGCTGTTGCATCCGACTCATGACGGGCATGCATTATAGCATGGCAGTGCGCAAACTGTGCAGCGAAACAAAAAACAAACGTTAAGAACGCCAACTCCGGAATTCGCCAGTCTTCTTTTCTGTTTGAGCGGAGCAAACGTTATGCGAGTACTCATAATACTTGGATGCAAATGCTTGGTCATCAAAACAAGCTTTTCGACTCGCTTCACAACTCTACTCGTGAATTTTAGCAAACAGCAAACAGTTTTAGCACTGCGTTAAAAATAAAAAAAAAATTTGGCAAGCAAACTAACCCGCAAAGGTCTGACTCCTGCTCCTCGGTCGTCTCGACGATTTCTTCAAGCAAATCACTGTTGCCGAACATAATCCTGTGGTAAACGCCGTCTTCCTGCACCTCGTACTCCAGTTCTCTGATACCGTTCTTTGGTAACACCACCATACAAATATTTCACGTTGAAACTTCAACAATAACAATAACAAAAACAGCGACCGTAGAAAGAAAGAAAAAAACCAAACAAAACAAAAAAAAAAAAAAAACACTAACAGCACTAAATGTCCCTGCTCCTTGAGAAACTGCACAAGCGTGTTACAAAAGTTGTCCGTCCACTATTATAAATATTATTAACACTTTCACCAAGGATCAGTCGATACTACCCATAACATATTTATTGCAATGGTATACGCACTCGCGCACATGTATGAAAATATATGCAAACACACAAACTCACAAATGTACTTTTATTAACGTATCACACACGCAGAGTACTGTTAAATGCTCAAAGTGTTCGATTGTCCATTCGTCCGGGTGTGTTTTGATTTTTGGTCTCTGTCGCCTCTGATGTTTCGTAATGGCGCGCGGTGCCGATGGCTCTCTTTGGCGGGAAACAGCTGAGGGAGCCCCCACGCCGCAGGTATATATGTATATATATAAATATGTATATATATATCCCCGGAGCTTAATGTATATAAGTGTGCGCACTGTATCCAGATACAACCGTGTTGTAGAGAGCGAGATGGGTGTACCAGATGTTGTATATCGGGTGGTCTGCCTACATGGAACGAGCCACGAGCGGCGGAGGGGAAAAGGGAGAAACTGTCTGTTCGCGGTGTATTACTCCGCCGCCGGTCGCAGGGCCGTCGTTATAGCTCGAAGGCGCCGCCAATGGGGGCCCCCCTTCGTTTTCTTTCTGCTCCGTTTGTTATTTCCTTTCCTGCACCTGTGCACACACCTCTCCTCTCTCGTCTTCTTTTGTGAATGGCTTCGAGCAAACAGTGAACGTACGACGACGACGACGACTCTTGTCTCCAAATCCAACGTGAGCTAAAACAGATACGTAGGAGGTTATGGTCGGCTTGGTTGGTGATCGTTGTCGAGGCGACACACAAAGTACACGCACACGTCACTATAATGTGTGTGCCGGTCAATGATCGACGACAATTAAAGACGTGTTTGTTGTTGTTGATAGTAGTCGTTGCTCGGGGCGATTGTTTCACCGACCAAGGCGGCCGTGAGCGAGCGTGAAAACTCGTAGATCGTTCCTCCGAGGCATGACTGACACGCGCAGCATGTCGGCAAACGGAGCGGCTCGTTGTTTTATTTCTTTTAAGCGTAGGTAAAACGATGTAGTTGTATATACACTTTGTAAGGGCAGCGAGATGTAAATGGTATAGTTATCTTGTATATGTGTACACCCCACCGGCGCTCCCAAGAGCGAAGAACACCGACAGCACACACTCACTGGCGCGCCCTAACACAACGTCTCTTCGAACGTGTTGTATATGTAGAGGCTTTTATTGGAGCACTGATAACTACATATAAGTATTTCCCTTTCAATTTATGTAAGAGTGTGCAATGATACTCGTTACGGTCGTTACTTTTCACGAGCAAGAGAGTTAGTTACACACTGCACGCACAGCTTGCAGTGTTTGCACAGTGCACACAACGTGGCCACGATGCAGGATGTATATATATAGACCACCGGGATCGTTCCACGAGTTGTCCCTCGCGCTCACGAAAAAACAAGTTCACTGGTTGGGTCACCTGATTCTCGTGATGCACGTTGTTGGGTTACGTATTACGTACATCTGTAAACAATAATAATCATACATTGGTTTACATCACTGCACTCGGCGTATATATTTAAATATAGGGGGAAGAAGGAAAAAAAAAAAAAAAGCACGCACTCGACTTTGCTCTTCCTTTTGAATGTAGATGTGACAACGACTCCGACCCAGAGATCTTACACCGTAATGATCATTACAGGTTATCGCACCTATCGGCTATCTTCGTCGCTTTATCAGCTGTGTCGACTGTATATGTATACATTTATTATACACCCACAATGTTACATCCATACATAGATATATACATATATATACGGGAGGGGTTGAAAAATCGGCGGCACTCGTTGACGCAACGAGTACGTCGATGCGTCACGTCGGAGCGTAGCTAGCTGACTGACCGGCCGCGCGCTCGTATTGCTCGTAAAGCCAGCGGCTGCCCATTGGTGGGGATGGGGATCATGGGGAGGAACATACAACAATCTATACATATATATGTACACTATATGGTGCAGCAGCAGTAGCACACACACGCAGCGCCCATGCCGTGTTGCAGCCGCAGCGTTTGTCGGTCTGTCGTCCATCTCTCTCGGTTTCGCGCGCGCCCTCGTCGCCGACAGATGCGCGCGCACCCTCAATGAAATACGCAAACGTAAATATGCACACGTAATACGCCGGGCCGGGGATTCCACGAATACTTATTCCGTACATTTTTTTTAACGATAAAGAATAGTAGGTTATGAATAATGATTACGGAGTATTAGTTTATCTATTTGTTTTAGTTAAAATAGGGTACGATTAGGTTTTTTTTTTCGTAAAAAGACTCGTTGTAAAGGTTTCTTCGAAACATCGCAAGGTACGCAACGTAACTCGCGTTTCGAGCCTTATAAAATTACCCATACTTTTAAGTGGTCTCATCCAAGAAATTATTGTTTTTGATTTGAATCAAGTATAAAATTTAAAAAAAATTCCATCTCTTCATAGATATTTCACTTTGTTTGTTGTTTTGTTGTTGTACTGTTACAGCAGGGTGGGGCACGATTATTGCACTGCATGAACCTCGCATTTGATCTATAAAACTGGAAAAAAAAAAAAAAAGAAAATGAAAACTGCAAAACAATTTCAACTCAAATCTCATTTTCCTTATTGGAATGCAAAAAATTGTATGGCAAGTTATACGTACTTAGCCCCGCGTGTTTTGATGTTTTCTCCAATAATCGGTAAGGCAGTTTTCGGCAAAATTCATGTACATATATATATATATATATATATATATATATATATCGATCCTTTTAGTCCTCAACATGAAAGCAAAGGGTGCGAATTTTAAATGTCATACGCAAAGACAAAACGAGCCCCATGCAGTTGTAAGGGTTGGCCCCAGCAGCTCAGTTTGATGTAACAAAGCAAAATTTTAGCGTGCTGTACCTATAGGTGTATGTATACGTACATAACGCCCCGCTGGTGTAGTATACAGTGAGCCGACAGACAGATAGTTGAAGATGGAGAGTATATTACGCGAGGAGACGCTGCTGACGTCATGCCAGCCCGCGGGTGGCGGCTTGGAACTCCATATTATACCCCACGAGTCCCATGACGTTCACCTGACTTCAGTATATAGGTATAATGCGTCAACGGTGTAACAGCTGCTGAAAACGACCGGCGTCCATGCTAGAGTCGGCATTGCAGGGACCAGCACACCGATTCTAGCGAACCAGTCGGCCAGCTGGCTAAAAGAGGTTACGCTTGCAGGGAAAAACTTCAACAACAACCCGCGGTACTTGTCTGGTAAACGCGCGGGTGTGTGGGGGAGATATTGATGTCAATTGCATCGCGTATCGTGTATCAGCGCCATCTAGCGTTGCGGATTTCGCGGGCTGACGCAAACTATTTTCTAGGGGAACCGTCTTGAAAAAAACCCTAGATTCTAGAGGTTTCCGCCAGAAGTAAATCACTAGGTAAATATATAGTAATAGCTATTGGTATAGGTCATCAAAAATCGCAGACCTGCAGGGTGTAATTGTGCGCTTCAAATATTATATATGCAATACGGCTAGAGATTGATGGTCACATGCTTACTAAAATTTGACGAAAATCGTAAAATGTAAAAGTATCCCCCACGCGTCTCACGTTGGTCGAAGTCGAAGCACGCCAGACCCGTTGGTGGCATATCAGTCAACTGTCGATACAGCAGGGCCGATATTTTTGTTGATGTACCGACGGTTGGCTGACTCACTTGAACTGCAGGTCTCGCTCTTATCTCGTGTCAGTTGTCGGTACAGCAGGGTTTGTCACGCTAGAGGGCGCTAAATCCAAATGAAATTTGGCGGGGTCTAATAGGTATATGTATACTCAATATAACGTCAATAAACAAATATTAAAGTATAAAGACGGGGTCTAATTGCGTGCTTCAATATGCGCAATACAACCAATGCCGTACGTGGAGGATATTTTTTACATTTTTGGCAAATTTTAGCGTATTTTTAGTATGCATCAATCTCGAGCCGTATTGCGTACTTAATATCGAAGCACGCAAATAAACCCTTTCCTTTACGTCTGCCGGTCTGCGATTTTTGACTTACATCTGTACATATCTAGTGATTTACTTCTGGTGTAAACCCCTAGAATCTAGGGTTTTTTCATATGTAATAAAAAAACATTAATATATTTATGTGTAATAAAAAAAAAAAAAGTTTATGCAAATTGTAGTTTGATCCTTAAAAAAAAAAAACGATTGCAAACCATCATTAATTTCTTTATTTTCATTATTTCTTTTTCCATTCGTTACTTCATTTTTATCATTAAGTTATTTCGTATGTAAAAATGTTTGTAAAATTAAAGATTTACACAAGTAATATTTAAATTAAGAGTTATAAAAAAAGGCATGCTTTACAGCGCTGATTACGATCATCATTGATTCAATGTTTTGTTTGTTAAGAAAATATTGTAACTGTACAATTTACAATTAGTTGAGTGAACATGGGATGAATGTTTTATTTTTCATAACGCTTTGCTGACCGACGTTTTAAAGATCAAATCTATTGCTTTTTACATCACAGTCCCGCGTTACATGTATTTTGAAGAAATAAAAATTTATTGGCTAGGTACATCAAATTATTAATCTTAAAGAGTGTTAATAGGCTCTAAAATTTAATTAACCTTGGCAGTAATCTACAGCGAGGCTCTAGTTATATTTCGATTGTTTTTTCTCTGTATTCTATGGCTTAATCCAAGAGAATTTATGCTTTAAAGAAAAATACGTTGATTTAAACTCAATTTTATTGAGAAACATTACGTATACAAAAACTTTTGAAAATTTAAAGATGAACTTAAACTTTCATCACTTGGTTTATTTTTTTATCCAATTTTATTTAAATTTAAGTAAAATAATGCTTATGTACAATCAAAACTTACTATATTAGCTAGGATAATGAAGCAATAGCTTCTAGACCAAACAATACATATAAATAATACATGCTGATATAAATAAAACTGGCTTGACCAATCATGGAAATTCTATCACTGGGTAAAAATTGGAATAGTCCAACACCAAACCACGAGTTGTATTTACCATGATCGTGTGTGTTATTTAAATGTCAATTTGTATGTTTAACAAATTTTTCTTAAATAATCTTGTTACTTTGCAATAGGCAACAAGGAAATTTCACTTGAATTTAAATATTGATTACACTAGATTTTCATGAATGGCTACTAAGAACTTATATACTATTTACATTGCGCAAAAAGGTAATAATTATATGGATTTCATTATTTACAGCTGTTCTAGAAGCGATGTACATAAACTTAAACCTACACTTTTACACAGGATACATCATTTACATGTTCACTCCCTTGTATGGATTAATCATAAAATTCTTACAATTCCTTTTTTGTTCTACTACGGCAACGTTGTTTTCTTTTAGTATGAAGGATGTGGAACCAAAAAAAAAATCCCCCAAGGTATTTAGAAGATATTATTTAATTGAGCTTATAATATGGATTCACATGTAATTACATTTAAAAATAATTTTAAAATACCGTTAATGAATGTTATGGGAATAAGAAAGGTAGTTGTGATTTTGACTCATTTTACGAACCCTTTAAGATTGTCTCAAGTGTAAATCCATATTAGGGCATTTAAGAATTTTTAAAAATATATTTAGCAGTAAGTTATTTTCTTGAGTTTATATACGATTACACGCCTTACTCAGGCTAAAAGTGGCACGTTTCTTTACGTACATGATGAGCTACTTTCAAACCCAATGTGATGCAAAAGTAAAAAAAAAAGTTTGTCTTTTAATTTAAAAAGTAGAAAAAACTATGCCTTAAAATTTTCGATTTAAAGAAGGCACTAATTTTATGTGAAAAATATTTACTTTTCAATGTATAAAACAAAATCGAGAAATGATTGATCTACTTTTATTGTACAGGTTTACTTCGTGAATTCTAAACAACTCTAATCGTGTTATAATATTTTTTTCAAACTCATTTTTGATCTCTCCTGTGCTGGGTTTACCTTAATTTTAAGTTGCTGAATAAGATCAAAGATCTTGAGTGATGGGCCAACCTTGAAACCGGTCAAGTCAATTATTTGATCTTTAGTTAGGGCAAGCAAAGCTTTGCCGTCAACCTTGCGTTTGTTGAAATTGTCGCAATACGTGGCGCAATCGTTTACACGCAAGAACTGGGAAACGTCAAAGATATTCCAATCACTTGGCACTAGCTCACCCAATTCTGAACTTTTCTGTATACCATCTGCCACCCTCGGAATATATTTGCTGCTCACAGTATTTGACTGCTGTAAAAAAAAAAAAATAAAAAATTATTTTATGTGTAAGAAGTAGTGGTTGACGAAAATGACTTAACAAAGCATATATTTCAACGTACGTTAACATAGGAAGTCTTTTCTTTGGGCCTTGGTTCGTTTGTTGAATGACCTTGACCACTCGTCGGACTCGGAAGGGTTTGATCGGGTCCAGCATCTAACGCAGGTTCAGGCTCCCTAGCATTCGACTGCTGTGGTATGCTCTCTAGATCACCACGCTCGCGTTCAATTTTCGTACCCTGAACAGGGCCCATCTCGTGCTCTTCCTTCACGCGAACTATACGTTTCTGCTGTATTTGTTGTTGCCGATGATGCTGTTGATGTTGACTTTGCTGCTGTTCTTCTTGTTCAAGTTCTGCTTGATGTTGCTCGGCTAATCTTATTTCAGCTATACGTTGTTGCTGCAAACTGCGGGTGTATGGACCTCGGTGCCCACCGGCTCGTTTTATTTTTCTCCTACCTCTGCGTTTCAGGCCTCTTGGTGTTTTTGCTGCATTATACCCCAAGTTGAGAAAACTTTTTTTCTCTCATCAATATGATTAAAAATTACAACAATCGACTTACCGTTGTTGGGACTAATATTTTTTATCGATGCTCTAGGTCCTTCCAATTTGTGTTCAACCAAATCGCACCAACCAACTGGGTAAATATCACAACTTTTACAATCCAGCCACTGATCGTACTCATCCTCCCATCCATTGAAGTGTACCCTTAACAATCGTCCAATTACTCTAGTAACTGTCGCTACGCAAACTAATCTAGGATCCATCAAATCTGCCGCCTCTAGCCTCATTCCTTCGAGAAATCCATGCTTGGGTATTTCCTGATGTAATAAAAATGATTAAAATATTCATCCATCTAAATCATACACAAAACACTTTGTGTTAACAATAATAGTGGTTAAAAAAAAATCTCTTACCCTATTGAACAGTTCCGTAGGTGCTGGTATCGTGCTTGTTTTCTCCAAATATGAATCCCACGAGAACGTAGCTGGATCATACCCCTTAGGAGGTGTGAGGGGCAAGCCATGCGTAGCGCAAAAGCCCAACGGAAAGATGCAGGGTGAGTACGAATGATAGCAAAACCAATCAGCACCATTGATATCTTCATCGTAGCTGTCGATTCTGATCATTATGTAGCCTTCACGCAACACTTTCATAACAGTAGCGGCACATATGGCCGACAAATTCAACGGATCTATTGCTTCCATCTTCATACCTTCGCTGAACGTGTATCCGAAGCGCGCATGGTAGTTTTTAGGTGTAAGAAACAATTCAGGTCTCGTATCATCATCGCTGTTGAGAGTTCAAAATATTAGTTTCGAACGTTTGGTTTAAAAAATGCGTTCCGGGAAACTTACCTCAATTTACCGGACTCAACGCGCTGAAAATACTCGGGGTACGCGTCTATGGTCTGACCAACTTTCGCAGCCCAACCGACAGGATGTATGAGGGGAGAGTCTTCGTGACACCAAAAACCGTTGTCTTCAGGTGGTGAGTCGTAGTAACGCACGTGCAGCCGCTTACCCACGATTTTCTGTATGGTTGCTACTTTTACTTGTGAAATACGATTTTTATCCACGACCTCAAGATGCAGTCCTACGCGAAAACGCGACTTCATACTGTCGTTGACTTTACTGTAAAAATTGGTCGGAAGAGTTCGAGCACCCGTCAATCTCCGCATCAGAAAATCTTTCCAGTCTTTGTATTTGTTTGCGATTGCTGTTTTGAAAATTAATTTTAGTTGAATTTGTTTTTAACGATATTGATGTTTAGAACATTAATACGTACATTTTGGTGGAATCAAAGGTTTTCCGATTGTGGCACACCAACCTACTGGATGGATTTCATTTGAACATACAGATACCCAAAAATCTTTTTCACCTTGATTACCGAAACCCTCATATCTGAGAAGCGCTTTGTAACCAGCAGTACGAAGTAGGTACGCTACCCAAAATGAGTCAGGAAATTCTTCGCACACTTCATCACAGTCAGTGTTTTCAACTTCCACTTTCATGCCCACAGTTATGTTACCCCATATTTCTGATATTGGTGCCTGTAAATGACGAAACAATTTTTTTTAACCCCATGGATACAATTACGTTACAACGGTTTTTTTGTACTTTCAAGTTTTATTACTCGATAAATTACTGAGACTAATGAACTTTCTTACGTGTTTGAAACAAGAAACAGGAGCAGCGCAAAAACCAGGTGCTTTCAATTGAGACGTCCAGTCATATGATCCTGCCATTGCGGCTGTACGTTTTCTTCTTATAGGCAATTCTTCTGGCATTACTGGCTCTGGCTTTGTAGGTAATACTGGCTTTATGTTTTCTGTTGTCTTTACTTCTTTAGGCGTAACTATTTCTTCTTTTATATTTAATAACTATTGAAAAAATAGGAAAAGTATATAGCTAAGATGAAATTATTGATTACCATGCTAAAATAATTTTAAATAAAATCACCTTAGGCTTTACGTCATTTGGTACATTAGCATCTGTAGTGTTTAGGTCTATAGAATGAGTTGGACTATATGTGGAATCTGCATGAGCTGCTGTATGTTCCGAGGAACGAGCACAGGCACGACTACAAAACCGCCGTTCTCTCGTGTAAAATGCGTGTTTTACCCCGATAGCACCACATTTTTCGCACACAGCTATTGATAATTCGATAATATAATTTATGCAATTTTTCATTTTTATTGACAGTATACAATAATTACTTACCAATACCATCCTTACGTATAGGAATGCAATTCAAATCTGTGTGAGGTTGATAGGCTATTGGCGTTTTTAAAACTAAACCTGGATGTTTGATGGGCTTAATTTTACGAGTACGAACATCCTGTGTTTGAGTGGCTGCGTTGTTAACAATTTGTTCTCTGTCCTCATCAGCCATATAATCTTCTAGACCAAGATATTCATTTATTTCGTGTCCTTCACTTTGATCATAGTCCTAAAAAAATAATTCATACAATTAAGTTTACTAAGACTTCAGTACTTACAGCTAAATAATTCATCATATTAAATACTAACTGGCTGGATGTTTTGAACATCAACACCTTCCATAGGTTCCTCTGATTCTGAGCACTCGTTGTGAAATTGTGGAGCCAAGTACCTTACCATAGCAGTGGGAGGTACTTGATGATTTCTTATATCTTCAAAGGAGTGGTGACCATGTGAAAAGTACGGGCTTTCCGCTTGCCTGGGATCCATCATAAGTTCCTGGGAGGGATCATTGTGGACCATCATATCACCCATCCAGACCATGCTGAGTTCTGGCATGCCAGGGATGGCATAAACTGAAATACAATGTCATTATTTTCACCCACTTGCCAAAAGTTTTAATAACAGTTGACAATTAAAAACAATTATCATGTAAATAACCATAGTCACTCGACAGATACATGATTAAATTCGTTCAAACCGAGGTTCAAACAAGTTGAAATACAAAGTTGTACCAATTGAAAAAAAAAATTTCACAATTCAACGAGTATCCACTTGTTATGAAACAAACAAAGTTCTATATGCAGATACCACAAGAGCCTGCAGTGGTCTGTAAATAAAACACTACCTAGAAGCTAAGACAAATTGTTGCAACCTTCTGTTGTTTTTTTCATTCGTATCGGACATGTAGGATGTAACTTGAAGTATACTTATTGTGAATTGAGAGAGAGAAAGAGATAAAAGACGACGACGCGTAGCATTCTAACCTTCAAAACATAATTGTAACGCAACAATAATAAAATACCTGTTTGTACACGTTTTTGACGCTCGTGAAAACAAGAAAAATATAATCAATAATCCTTATGAGTCTTATAACGTGTCTTTCTCACTTACACATATTCATCGACGACATTCTTCAATCATACAAACTCCGGCTCCAGCGGGATTTCAATATACTTGGTTATTTACTATTTAAACGGAAAAAGTTCATCCGTTCGAGGGGGAAAAGTCACTCGGATCTGCATCATTACTTAGTATAGGTATTTACTTATACCTTAAACTTAAACGTATTTACAGAAGCGCGCACACAGTAGCAAGGTATACCACAACTGTAAAGTATGTGAGAGAAGAAGGAAGTGTGTGCGTACAATTATAATCACAATCACAATCTCGAGACTATTGGGATGGTGAGGAGCAAGAGAGAGAAGAAGATGAGGAGAAGAGAGCAAAAAACGAAAACCACAGAGAAAAGATCAGCATCATCATTCATCATAAAAATAATATTTATGCTCCTGCTTGGCTCCGATAAGTAGAACATCACATAGGCTATCAACAAACACACATTTTTTTTCGAGTTTTTTTTATATGATAGTTTTTTTCTCCATTCAACTCACTTGGGCTTATACATATTCATGCGTTTTTAATTCATTGAAACAATTTTATGTACTAACCATTAGGCGTCTGCATATCCATGTTCATTCGTTGAAGAAGGTATTAAACAAAAAAAATGTAACAAAAAAAAAAAGGGTAGGGGTTTTTGGAAAAAAGGCCACGGCTCAGCAAAGCCGTCGTTTCCAAGTTTCCTCCTTTTATTCTCTCCTCGTCTCCTCGACACGGGGGCGCTATATTACCGGCGAGACTGACTGATCATTGATGCTGAGCAGCGCAGCAACACGACATAGACAGCAGCAACAGCAGCAGCTCCAGAAGAAGAGGGTGTCTGTATCATAATTCACTGCCTTTCACGATACACACGCACTATCAAGAGTCTCCTGATCACGTGTTATTATGGTAATTTTATTTTATTTTCTTCGATGTGCAAGTAAAAAAAGCTGTTTTTAACTATCATCTTTCCCGATCACAGGGGGAAGAAACAACTGGACGCACGATTGGACAGCTTGCCAGCAACAGACACTAGAATCAAAGTGGGTGGTGGAGAGAAAGAGGGAAGAATCAACGCACGCAAGGCCATATCACTTTTAGAGAGAGAGATAGAGAGAGAGTGAGTCTTGCTTAGCGTTGTATTTAAAATTTACAATCCATCGGTATACTTTATACTCTTTTACAATGGAATTTTACCAGTAGGTAAATTGTCAAATGATTATATAAAGGTGTGTAAATACATGCGGTATTTATTGGCGTTTATATAGATTAGGTCGATAGACTATCGGGCCGTCGACAGAAGACATTGAGCGGGACTTTTTAAAATTTTCACAAGTTGGAGAATAAAAGAAAAGTAAAGGATATTTGTTGCGACGAATCAAAAAAAATAATTACCTTCATCATAATACATGCAGTGTTGAATCACAGACTTAATTACAAGATCCTCGTCACGGTTAACATTCTAACTAAACAAGAACACAGTCATTTTTTATTCCAATGAGTGTCCAGATGAGCGAAAAAAGCACCCTCGAAATGCTAGAGCCCAAAGAAATCCGCGTGTCAGTACCTTGGGGCCACGTAGCGGCTAGAGCTTATGGATCACCAGTAGACTTTCCAGTATTGCTGGTCCACGGAGTCCTTGATAACGCCGGCTCCTTTCACCGACTGATATCACATCTGCCGTCCAACTACTACTACGTAGCAATCGACTTGCCGGGTCACGGTTTGTCGTCTCACTTCCCGACCGGTTTGCCCTTGAACTTTCTCAACTACGTCCTGGTCCTGAGGTACGTCATAGAAGAGTTCAACTGGCCAAAACTACATATTGTGAGCCACAGTCTCGGCGCCCAGCTGTCCGTTTTCTACACTTTTATATACCCCGGACGTGTCCAGCGCTTGGTCGTTTTGGAGGGCTTTTATCCGCGCGTCTTGTCAGAGCACCAATTGTTGCCTTGGATTAGAAAAACTTTGGACTCAGCCACCAAACAGGACACTCCCTGGACCTACACGCGCGAACAAGTTATGCATTCGCTAAAGTTCAAGAGAAACTTCGCGCTAAACAGCGCCGCGGCCGAGGCAATGTTTGACAGATCGGTCACGAAAATCGGTAACGACAGCTATCGATACAATCGTGATCCGCGGCTCAAAACTTACTTTTTGCCCCTCTTAAGTCACGACCAGCTGATAGGTCTTCTACAAAAGGTTGACGTCAAGATTTTGGGATTGTTTGCCCAAAGTTCGGCTGAAATGTATTTACCGAAAGCCGTGCGCGAGTCCGCGAAACTCGTCGAAGGCCTTCTCGATGCCAAAATAACTTTTGTGCCGGGTAATCATGACATGCACAACAATCACCCCGAGCGAGTAGCGCCTTACATAATCGCATTCCTGCGTGATAACAATCTAGTTAGTAAATTGTGAAAGTTATACGTATTTAAAAGTACAGAGTTTTTTTTTTGTTGATGTGTCAATAAAATCTACTTGGTGAATATTTTTACTAAGCTACAAAATTATTTTATACCAAATAATTAGACTTTTATAGTGAAAACATTTATCACACATTTAGTCATTAGTTTACTTGGTCATGGGTTTTCTGGTATTACTCTCCATTGTTTAATCACGGGTTGAAAATTAAGTGCTTGTGCGTTGGATGAACTGAAGTGGGAGCAGGACTACACATCATAGGACACAGCTTTGGGGCACATTTGGGGTTTTTCTTTACACTATTGTACCCTGAGAGAATTAAAAAACTAGTTCACTTGGATGACAGCCTCGAGGTTTATCAAAAAAGAAGAGCTCATTCATAGAATCAGGGAGGAACAAAATACAGCAGCAGAAGCTGTACTTAGTAAAATTATGTGTCCTCACATCCGTGTTTACTGCATTAAACCTCACATGGTGTAAACCATACATTTTTCTAGCTCTTTCTCTATTTTATTAAACGCACTTAGATCAGTATTCGAACTTCGTTCGAGCCGTTTTAAATTAAAATTTACATGCAAAATGGATGGGCATATGGATGTAAACAAAAATAAATAAATAAATAAATAAAAGAAATAAAGAAATCATTTGTTCAACAGTTATTTAAAACCATCTCAAAAATAGTACCACGAATGCAATTGAAACACAAATTTTTGATTAAACAAATCTCTAAAAGTCTCTTTAACATTTAAATTACGACCTGCCCTCTCCCCCAGTCCCTCTACCACCTGACTGGTGGCGCTGCCAATAGCTGCCGCCAATCTCACAAAAATTTTGAGAAATTCATGAAGATCCAAAAAGTTCGCGATGTCGTCTACAGAGAGGTGCAAAGAGTTATAAGTATCGGTATAAAAAAATTACCAAATGCACCAAATATTTATACCTGTGGTCACCTGGCCCAATGAATAGAGGATAAAGTGACATTGGTGGCATAATAGGGATAACTCATATATCTTCTACCCGAAAATCGACATTCAAGTAAATTGACCCCCCTGCAAAAAAACATATACCTACTTGCCGCCACTTCGCCACCAAAAATCGGGGATCACAATATTCATTCTTACACAACACTGGAAAAATTATGAAACAAACGTAACAAATTTTTATATAGTTCAAAATAAATTTATTAATATTAAAAACAGTTATACAATTTTTTTTTATTTTCAACTAGTTTGATCAACAAATAACAGGTGCAAAAACTTAAATGACTTGCGTGACTTGAAACCAAGAGCATATTCTATTTTTTACACTTCTCGAATTTTTATTGTCTGACAATATTGCTATTTTTAGCAATCTCTTTTTGATTTTGATTAGGTAGAATTTTTTGAAAGATTCGTTTTGGATCATATTTGATAGAACTCATGCAGGTCATCCTCCTCATCATCAGTGGGCCAATACAATTCTTCACCACCACTATCATCCTCTTCATCATTTACATCATCATCCTCGTCAACATACAATCCTGCGTATAATTTTTTGTAACACTCAGATTGCGGATTATTATAATGATCGTAAGGATCTTTGCTTAGTATCCTGACTTTGCATATCCAACAGAAGTACGTGTTGCATTTCCAACACGTCATTTTATTGCATCCATCAGATTTCTACAAAATATTTTAGATTAATTAATATTTAATATATTATGATAATCAACGTTTTTATTGGATTTTTTATTTCTCAAAATTTATTAAAACCACTTTAGAATAAAATGATGGGACTTGGTGTAATTAAAGCGCAAAGCATAAGGATTTTTTCGTGATAGAAAAATCGTAAAACATAGTTTTTTACGCAATAAGCGAAATGTTACCCACGTCATAATATATTTCTAATGAATGATGACAAAAACAAACTTTTCTAAATGAAAAAAAAAAAAAAAAATGTATCAAGACTGAGTGTTTGAATACGTTTTTATATTTTAATAAGCTAAAATTTTAACACGAATTAATGTTTTGGGCCAACAAAACAGAGAGGACACTTTGTGCTTTTTGGTTGCAGAACAAGCATGGAAAATTCTAATTTTTAAAAATATGAATCACAAGATAGTACGACTCACCTCAATAGCACAATTGCACTTTGGGCAGTTTTGACTATTTTTCTCAATCCACGATTCAGACATGACATTTTCCACACACGTTTGCAATTGTTTCTTGCCATATCTTTGTTCTAATTCAATTTTCCTACTAACCGATGCTTTTTGATATTCTTCAACCAAATTTTTCCTTGTATCTAATGTTGTATGAAAAATAAAATAAATGATTAAAATGCAACACAATTATGCATACATTTGATAAATAGTAGTACATACCTGAATCTACTTTACAAGGCTCAACTCCATGATACAGAGCTTTGCAAAGAATACAAAAAGTGTATTCGCAAACAGGACATTTAGCCATAATTTCATTCTGCTCTCGACTAACCGGGTACTGGCAGATTTTTCTGGGACAGTAAATGATATCACTCATTGTGTCAAGGGTGTTGTTCAAAAGAATTGTATCATACTTAGAAAAAAATTCAGGTTCCACAAGATCTTTTATCTAAATAAAAATAAAAATGTGATACAACGGTTACGAATTTTCATTTTTAAATTAAAAAAAAAATATATATATCCTACCTGATGAGGTGAAGCTTTAGATGAACAATCTTCATTTGGGCATCTAATATCTTGAACATCTCCTTCTTGAATTTTAGACACAAAGTAGTTCTTAATGCATTCTTTACAAAAAATATGTTCACATGGTTTAAACTGTTCACAATATTCTCCAGATTTATCAGTAAAACAAATTTTACATGAGAAAAAACTCTTCCGAAATTCAATTTCATTACGTATTCTGTTATAATCTATGAGCATTTTAACTGGATTTATTCCAGGAGTAATATCCAAATAAAGTCGAAACCAAAGATCCTTATATTTATTTGATTTTCTAGGTCTATTTTTAGAAGACAGCTTTTTCCCTTTCCTCAACGGATCAACAGGTTTTTCATTAATCCTGTTAATGTTTAATTCACTATTTTTGCAGTCTTCTTTGGCACTTTGAGTATTATTCACATCACTGCTTTTTTGTGCATTTCCTAAAGATTTATTATAAAGTTTGTAAGCACAATCTATATCAACACTCTCTTCAATGTGTAAAAATTGAAGAGTCTCTGTTTGAAGAAAATTAATCCAAGTGAATATAATTTCTTGGCCCACATTAACCCTCCACAAACGATTCAATTTTTTACAAAGTTTTAACATCAAATTTTTTTTTAACCAAGAAGATCTTAAAACATATTTTGGCGGAGACACAGATGGATAATCCTTTGGCAACATGATATGCAGAGTTAGAGGAGGTAAGTGGGAAATTTTTATTGATTGTACTTTATTGCTATCCTCTTGCTCATTGTAAGTAAAAAAATAGTTTTCAGGAAGACTTATAAATATCTTCAAAGTCATTTTATTGTGACCATCCACAATATGATGAGTAAATTCTTCTTCATTATAGATACTCTTAAGAGCCAAAATCTCATCTGCCTGTTGTTCGTCCATTTCTGTTGATTGTAAAATAAACTTGTATAATTATTTCGATTAAATGTTGTTACTAAAAATACCTCATGAATAATTTCTGCATTGACATGTGAAATCAGTTAATAGAATGTGTTACAAAATACCATGTAATTGTGAGTTCTTCAGTAAAAAAATATTACTTAATGCAAAATTTGATAATTTCGGGTGTGAAAGGAAAAAAAAAAATGTTCAAAACAAGATTAGCAATTGTCATAACAAAATACCGTTCGGTAGGTGTGTTTAATCCTCTATTTACTCCAAAATCTACAGCTGTTTCTTCACCTTTTCGATTAGTTTTGTCGAGTTGAGGCGACTCATCGTATAGACGTATACTGGTGATCGATAGGATTGCGAGTCGTAAGTAAGCGAGTTTTGATAAGTAATAAGAAATTCAAATACCCAACCATAACCAAAGTATGCCGAAAATTTGAATTTGCAATAAGAATTAAGAGCCCGTGGACTATAATTTTTGTGAATATAAATATACTTCAAATGGAAAGGTAGCAAGTACTTTACTATTAACTTGTCTTTTTTTTTTTTTTTCTCTCAGAACATGTCGATTATTTTTTCAAGTTCGAGTATCGCTTTAAGTCGGACGTTAACTAGGTCGGTAAAATAGGTTGGTATAGTTAACGACTTAAGTAGTATATATTATATTGCTATACAAATGATTGAGTGAGTAAATTAATCTTTCTTACACACAACTTTTTGTAGTCTTGAATAGGAGATGGAAAAAATTTCATGACGTATTTTTCATCAAGATAATTTAATGCATCAACGTATTTACAAATTTAAGTAATTATAATATGACATTACTTATTCCACAGTATATAAAAAAAAAATTGCTACAGACTGAAGCAAGGAAGTTTGTGAGATTAGCGTCACATTTTCGCCTGTTATGTTTGAAGAAAACCAATCAACTATTTACATCAATCGATAATTTATACATTACTCTTCGCCGTCATCAAACTTGAGATGATCCAACTTTATTTCTTTGCTTTTGTCAATCTTTTCAGCTTCTGCTTTGGGCAGATTTTTCTTTTTTGGGGCTTTCTTCAAACCTACGACGTACTCAGGCATTACAATTTTGCTACTCCGAAACTCTGGTTTAGATGTGTTGGAGGGTTCTTTCTTTTTCATGGGCTTCCTAAAGGAAATAACAGCATTGCTTCCATCACCCTCCACATTATTATCCTCAGTCTGAATATCAATTTCCATCGTGTCGTGTTTGCCTTTGATCACTCGCAGTTTGCGCACTTTCTTTTCTTTTCTCTGCTTAAGCTCCTTCAGAAAAGCCAAAGCGGCCTGGCTGTTACTTTCATTAGACATCTCTGACACATCATCCAAATTGTAGCAAGTCCATTTTTCTGGATTTTTTCGGTAATCAGGGATGGCACTGATTTTGGTACGTGGAGCAGGTCCTTCGGGTCGCTTGAATATACTCTGCTTGCCACGGTAACCCTTGATTTTGCTTCTAAACTGTGAACAAGACGATAGATCTTCAAGCCTTGGTACCTTTGAATCCGTGTGATTTTTGTGCTTATTTAATGTCTTTTCGATTGCATTGAGGTGTGCAGACAGTTTTTTCGAACGGCCAATAAAGTTTTCAACCAAGGCGTCCGTGGAATTATTTTCACTTCCCATTTTTACTCCACAGAGAGCTACCCCACATGTACTTAAATCAATTGTTTGATATGGTACACAATTAATACACAATATAAAAAATTGTACTAACGTTTTTGATTACTTCCACACCAGTATGGAGGTTAGGGTTTTGTGTTTTTTTTTTCTACGCGTACGTCAATTAATGTCTACACATATGTGACACATGTTACATGTGTGTACGTGATGTATCATAATACATTCATGCACATGAAAATGCGCCAAATTTAAAAACAGATTAGGATTAAAGTCAGGTTACTAAACAGATTCATCTCTCCTGTACAAGCAAACAATGTAATAGCTAATATATTTAAATAATGAAACATTAAAGTACAAAATTAATAATTTAATAATTAGGTTGTAGGAAAGATTTAACAGGTGTAGAGGGTATGTTTTAGGATAATTAATAAGCCAATGTATTATGTACATACTTGGATACTTATTAGTTAGAAAAAAAAAGATTTGCTCGATTCACTTCGCTAACTTTGTCTTATATTAGCTATTTAAAATATATAAAATGTAGGTGCTATACATCATACTATATAGAGGCGTATTGTTTATTTATTCTCGTACCCTGCTACGTTGTCATTGATGATATTAGTACATGTTCAATTGACTTAAATTATTTGCAACATAAAAATCCACTGACAATGTTAAGAATCTGATTTATGTGATCTGCAAAGAAGCATCACAAAAAAATTAATAGTTAATTGAGTAAGTATATTTGTAGTGTATGCGTACGTCATTACTCATTACGTCGTATAGTGTCTTGTTTACTTATAGCTTATATATAGATATAGTATAAGTACCTATTAACCTACACACGTTTAATAGTATATATACATTTAAAGAGCTCTATCGACAAGTGCGAGGTATTGAGGTGTCGTCGATTTTCACTCCCCGTTTTCCGACAGCTCATTTTTTAACTTTTTTTTTTCGGTACCTATTCACGAAATTCGCCGCTAAATAAAAACAGTGGTACTTATACTGGGGCAGAGTAACGATAACGATGGATCGGATGATAAAAATTACTCGATCAAGTGACTGAAGCTTTCATCATCAGCAATCAGCATCAAAGTATTTTGGAGTCGTTTGTTATAGGTTATGATAAGCAAATGAGGTTTGTAATTGTTTGTTTCCTCGACGTTTATGTGAATTTGTTTGTACTTGATTCTAACAAGCGTATACTCTTGATAACTTGTTAATTGCATAGTGAATTGTGCTAGCTTTGCCAAGTTGAATTTCGGTAAATATTTACTCCATGCATTTTTTTTACACTTTTAATATTTAACGACTGAAAAGTAGCTAGTTTAGACCCTTTACTCGGTTAACTCCAATTAACTCCTACTTAGTAAAATTTGAATGCATATTTTTTTTTCGCAAAAGTTACATCAAGTTAATTGTATTGAAACATGAAATTTAACAATATGTTCCAAACTTTGTTCAGTACAACAAGAAGAAAGCATTAAAGATTTATTACGGTATTAATAACTTGTTTGATTTATTGTAATAGAAAACATGCTAATAGTATTTTGTAGTTAAATGAGTTACTAAAAACTTTAACCTTCATAAACCTAACAAACAGACGACCAATTATCAGTCATAATAATGATAACCATAGAATTAGTATTCTATTAAAATTTTTTGTTTTTCAAAGCTACGATTACCTTTTCTAATTGAATAAATAATGTTTAGTTTTACTGACTTCTAATTGTGACAAGTCTTATGCTACAATTATTTATGAATACTTATGATAAAATGTTATTAAAAATCGTGTGTGTAATGTTATAGATGTCATTTGTGTTTTTAAGGTACTACAACAAGCAGCAAAGGAGATTCAAATTCAAAGAGAGAAAAATTCTTTGTAAGGAGACCTCTCCTTTTTCCCGGACTCTGTGCTACGGCAATAAAGATGTATTGTGTGCAATGGCTCATACCAGTGCTACTTATTCCAAAACCAGTAAATCCAGCACTGCTACAGACGCATGTGATGTTTATGGTCCTCTACTTGATTGGTTTCTTTCTGGAGCGCAAGCCTTGCACTGTCTGCAGCCTCGTCTTCCTTGCCACTGTTTTCCTGATTTGTTATAGTGGTATTGGCAATTGCCTTTTTTGGAGTAATAACTGCGACACTGTTAGATGTGATAATGGCTGAGACTGCGCTTCGTAATGTTATCGTTTTTGAGACCACAAGACTTTATATTTTAACAATTTTTGCTAATTCTTAATTTTTAATTGCGAAGAATGTGTGCCACTATTGCTGCTTACAGAGTACACTGGAGAACATGAAGAAAAATTCCATTGTAAATAGGAATGGTCACAGTGTCGAGTCGGCTGTGCATATCCGATATTGCATATCCAATTGTATATATAGCCTTATGTTATTTCATTGTTTTTATTTGTTAAGATCGCCATTGTTTTCTTTATCTATAAAAGAAAGCAGCTGGTGTGATGTTGATTTAACCTAATCAAATCAATTCTAGAATTAGCTATGCTTCAACTTATCAAAAATAAAAATTTTTTACTTCTATTTTTCTATGAGTCTGAATTTGTGCACCTTTAATTTTCGAAAAGCATTCTCTGTTCAAGTTAAATCTTGAATTAGAATCTAATATTCCAAGACCCTTCCAAGTAAAAAGAAAGCATATACATTGTACAAGTACCTATTTAATGAATTTGTAAGAGAACATGGGAATAAAGATGGAAACATTGCGAAAGGAAGTATTTTTACTTATTTCTTAAAACCAAAAATTCCCTAATGAAATGAAAGGCAGTGCACGAGACACGACTCACACGACACGTAACATATAAAAAATACACGTTAATATGAAAGGAAAGCTACTTATGTTGCGTGCCGGGACACAGGGCACGGTTGAGCAGGCAAAGAGCAAATAAAAGGAACTAAACGAGTCCTTTAAAACGACTATACGCCTGTAGTTCATACACTGCATGATGAAAACTTAAAGCATCTGTTTCGTTGCCAACAGTTTATAAAGTACAATAATTTTATTGTAAAACCTACCGAGTAAAATAATTAAATTGTAACTCATTCAAGTTGGATATACCTCAACAAGGATATACTTTTTATCATAATTTGACGTGGTCGATTTTTTTCCAACACTTTAAATTCTACATCATATATCATGACAAAAATGGGAAATTTGAAGTCTAACAAAATAAATCAAAAACCAGTGATAAATATTAAAAATTATTTTATTGTGGACCGCGACCACGACCAAATCCACCACGGAATTCAAGTTCGCCAGTACCAGCACCTACATCAGCCTTTTTGTCAGGACCACCAGGCCCACGTCTATATCCAGCGCGATCTTCGGACGGCCTGGAAGTTTCGCTCCTTGGGCCCATTTGGGGCTTTTGTCTTGCACTTTCTGAGGCAACTTTTCTCTTGAGAGTTGCTGGTACGATTTCGGGTGGCAAGTGGAGGAAATTTCTCAGATACTCAATACCGTCATTGGTCAAGTAATAATAATAATGGCGCCAAGCAAACTGTTCTTTCACATATCCTCTGGATTTCAATGACTGAAAAGATAGTTTTTTGGTAGATATCAAGATTATACACTATAGAAATTAAGTTTCAAATAATGTGTACAAGTATGCAGTAATTTTACCTGCAAAGCTTTAATGACATGAAGATTGGGAATAGTCTCTAGTTCTGGATGTTTTGGTGCATGGAAGTCCTTTTTGGCAACCATAACACCCTCTTTGAAGAGATATTCATAAATAGCAACTCGGTCGGCTTTGGGCATCAACATTCTGTAAAATAATTCATTATTACACTTTTCGTTCTAAATTTATCACTGCGGTATATTAAACTTTGTAAAACTCAATCAGCTAATGAAGCTCTTTAGGTTATACTGTCACACACTTTATTATTCACAACAATTATCTCGCATAAAACAAATTTCATCGTGCACGACCCATTAACTTTGAATAAAAACTACTCCTAGGTACATTTTTTGTTAACTATACCACGAATACCAAAAAGAAAAAAATAAACAATAGGAATATGTAAACGAAATATCGAAAGATTAAAGGCACTAGTGATGCGAAAATATTCACAAAATCATAATGTTCACAAGAAAATTATTGTTTTGCAAATTAATGTTCGGATGTTGTAGATAAAAAAGGATTATTTTACAAAATTAACGCACTTGCAAGTCTTTGGTACGCTCCGGTCACCGTAAAGAAAATAACATTCCTCGTGAGTATGAGATTTCTAACTTTCTAGACCCAATCAGATGGTTCACAGGATAGGGTAAAAATATTCCGCGCGAACTTCAAACATCGAACTAGCTACTACCACATTTGTCATTTATTCTTTAACGCAACTACGTAACAATTTAAATTATTTTATCATTTGTAAAAGTTTTTTCTAGAAGATAATTAGATTTTTTTTACATGAAATTATTGTAAGAATTAAAAAAATGAAATTGCCCAATCTCTTTTCAGGGACATTTAAAAAGTCACTACATGCAAAAGTAACTAGCAAAACTATATATATTTATACTTTTCAAGGTCGATTTTTGGGTAGAAGATAAATTGTAAACTTGCCGCAAACAGCACAAAATACGTTAACTATTTATTATCTATCTATAAAAATAGTTGCGGCTGGTTCATAATTGATCACATGGCTTTACTGTGAGGAGTAATAATTATCTTTATCAGCGCCACCTAGCGTTGCGAATTTCTGAACTAAAAAGTGGCCCTAAACTTTTCAGCCAGAGCATTAGCGCTTAGAGCCATTTAGTGAATTATAAACCAGCCGCAACTAATATGAAAGATATAAAATGAAAAAAAAACGATACATGTGTTTTTGGCGGCAAGTTAACAATCTATCTTTTACTCGAAAATTAATCTTCAAAAGTATAAACACATATAAAGTCAATTTTTGGGTAGAAAATAGATTGATAACTTGCCGCCAAAAACTCATGTATCGTTATTTTTACATTTTATAGCTATAGTATGAGTTGCGGCTGGTTTATAAGTGATTAAATGGCTCTACGCGCTAAAGCTCTGACTGAAAAGTTTAGGGCCACTTTTTAGTTCAGAAATCCGCAACGCTAGATGGCGCTGATCCAAACAATTATTACTACACTTATAGCAGATTAATTATAAACCAGCCGCAACTAAACTGACAGAAAGATATTAAAAAGTTGGTTTAATTTATGCTATTTGCGGCAAGTTTTAAATCTATCTTTTACCCAAAATTTGACCTCCAAAGTATAAATATTCTACTTATCTTAAGTGGCTTATAAAATCGACTACATTTACAAAATTACAATACTTTAGACCTTTTATCATCAACTTATGGAAGCACGGCCCTTTAATGTCATAGTTTAAATAAACAGTTAACTTATATGATACGTATTGTGTTACAGAAATCTTGAATTACGATCAAATATATACGTAAATTAATCAGTTGAAAAGAGACAACTGAAGAAAAAAGGCCTAAAAGAGAAGTTCAGTCACACGAAGAGTCTCTTAAGAATGGAGCATTGGATCTTACCAAATAAAAAATACATTTATTGCAGATAAGTAAATTTTAAGTCTTATGAATAAACAAAGAACCCAACATTCTCTGATTAAGTGAGATCCAATGCTCCATTCTTAGGAGACTCTTCGTGTGACTGAAACTCTTTTTTAAGCCTTTTTTCTTGAGTCTGATTAATTCACGTATGTGTTTATCGTTATTCGAGATTTCTGTAACACAATACATATCATACAAGTTAACTGTTTTTTTAAACTATAACATTAAAGGGCCGTGCTTCATAAATTAATGGGAAAAGGTCTAAGGTATTGTAAGTTTGTGAATATGGTTGATTTTATAAGCCGTATAAGATAAGTAGAATATTTATTCTTTCACAGGTCGATTTTTGGATCAAAGATAAATTGTATTAATATAAATTGTAATTGTAAACTAAAAATAAGTTAACTTTATATTTTCTATCTATAAAATCAGTTGCGGCTGGTTTATTGTTAATAAAGTGGCTCTACGGTAAGTTATAGTATTAGTTATTTGGATCAGCGCCATCTAGCGTTTTGGATTTTTGAACCAAAAAGTGGCCCTAAACTTTTCAGCCAGAGCTTTAGCGCTTAGAGCTATTTAATAACTTATAAACCAGCCGCAACAAATTTTAGTTATATAAAATGTAAAAATAACGATACATGTGTTTTTGGCGGCAAGTAAACAATCTATTTTCTACCAAAAAATAGACCTCATATGTATTTATACTTTTGAAGATGAATTTTCGAGTAAAAGATAGATTGTTAACTTGCCGCCAAAAACACATGTAGTGTTATTTTTACATTTTACAGCTACAGAAGGAGTTGCGGCTGGTTTATAAGTAATTAATTGGCTCTACGCGCTCAAGCTCTGGCAGAAAAGTTTAGGGCCACTTTTTAGTTCAGAAATTCACAACGCTAGATGGCGCTGATCCAAATGATTATTCTTACAGTAGAGTAGAGCCGTGTAATCAATCATAAACCAGCCGCAACTAATAACATAAATAGAAGATAAAAAGTTGACATTGTCTGTACTATTCGCGGCAAGTTTACAATATATATCTTATATCCAAAAATCGACCTCCTACATATTTATACTTTTGAAATAAAATGAAATAGAAACCGTCTGCTTTGCAACTTGTTGCGTATACGCGCGCTTTTGTGCTACTACAACTTGTTCTTGTGCTTTATGATGTCGTGACCCGCGGGCTTTTGTATTTTTGTCTGACGGTCGTCGCACGATATGTTCAGAGAACAGGTGTAGCCGTTACAAGTATTTATTTATAAACACGTGTGTAAACAAAAGCACTTGCCTATTACATCTGGCTAAACATGAACAAAAATAACAGATCCGGAGGTGTGAAATTTCGCGAGCTAGAATACAGTCAAAGTCCCGCAAAGAATATTCAAGATAAAAACAATGTGCTGAGGTGCAAAGAAGATATTCTTAAATTGTTTGCCAAGCCGAGCCTCGAAAATGATTCCTCGAAAGAAAACAGTGTCGAAGCTCTGGCCGAAAAAAGTAGTCAGGAAAATGTTGCTAGTGTCGGAAAACGGCCACAGATGAAGCCAAGGATTGATATTATTCGAGAAAAGCCGAGGCTTGCTGTGGTTCAGTCGAACTTCGTTGATTCGTCAGCCAAAGCACTAAGTCCTTCCAGTAACAAAAAGTTTGTTCATCACTTTAGTTTTGTTTTGAAAGTGTTTAAAATTGTATGTGCTGTTAAATAATACAACATTGTTTACTTGACAGGATATATAATGTTATGATTGGCAAGATATCCACTAGAAAACATAAACAGTGGGACAGCGATGGTCTTTTAGAAGTTACTGGAACAAGTGCCGTGCTGAAGGTTTACTTCTAACGAATTGAACATTTATGACCAATTAATGAATGTATTGTCAATATTTTATATTTGTCTCTTAGGATGCAAAAGGTAAATACATTGGTAGGACAACAGTCAAGCCGGAAACTATTGAAGAAGGGTTCAGAATATGTATGTCAGGAAAAGAAATTGAGGTGATTGTTGTATGTACGTTGAAGAATTTTCTCAGATCTTTAATTATGAATATTAATGAAATTTCAGATTGTAGAATTAGCTTCATTAGATGATATTCAAGCTAGACAAGGTTCTGGTAACCAACATGATAATGACAGCTATGAAAGTGTAGCACCACCACCAGCTAAAAAGGCGAGAACAACAAAAGCATTTGTCCCTGTAAAATCTGGTACTAAAAAATAATTCAAGTCTTTAAAGTTGTAAATTACTAAAACCATAGTATTCCAATTTCCATTAAGTTACATACAACTAAAATAAATTATATTTACATATCCCTAACGTTGCTTATGAATTTTGATTCTTACTAGGCAGTAGTTTGCACTTTAATTATGAACCCCTTGTAATGCCACATCCACCTCTTGACTTTGAATGGTCTCAAGACCGAGATGAACAAAAAATACACGAAGTCTCGGTTGATGGCTGTTTGGCCTCTGTATTGAGACCCCATCAACGCGAGGGTGTGGTATTTTTATACAAGTGTATCATGGGCATGAATGATCCGAAATTCAAAGGTGCCATATTGGCTGACGAAATGGGTTTAGGAAAGACACTGCAGTGCATTTGCCTCATTTGGACTTTGTTGAAAAAAGGTCCAACTGGAAAACCAGTTTTAAAAAAAGTGTTAATCGTCACTCCCAGTAGCTTATGCGGAAATTGGAATAAAGAATTTGGCAGATGGCTAGGATCTATGAAAATATCTCCTTACGTGGTAGAAAGTAATAAACGAAAAGTTAAAGACTTTACCAAAACTCCAAGAGCCTGTGTCATGATTGTTAGTTACGAGACTCTTGTAAAGAACATCGACGATGTCAAGAAAGTAAACTTTGATCTAATGATTTGTGACGAGGGTCATAGATTGAAAAACAGCGAAGTTAAGGCGATTAAGGTATTTGTGCATATATATTTATACGTAATTACCGCCAAGTTTTAATAAAACATTTGAAGCTTCTCAGCAAACTGAACTGCCAGAGGCAAATTCTCCTGACTGGAACCCCCTTACAGAATGACTTGCAAGAATTTTACACACTCGCAAATTTTGTGAATCCTGGCATACTTGGCAGCTTCAGCGAATTCAAGAGTTACTACGAGCATCCGATCGTTAATTCCAAGCGTGCTGCGGCTGACGAAGAAGAAGTCGCGATAGGCCAGGCCAGAGCTCAAGAGCTTCACGAGAGATCAAAGACTTTCATCCTTAGGCGCACAAACAACTTAATCGACAGATATCTGCCAAAAAAGCACGAGCTGGTTGTATTTTGCCGGCTGACACGCGAGCAAGAAAATCTGTACAGTTTGACAACAGATTATTGGTTCAATAGATCACTTATTGGCGGATGTGTGACAGCGCCTTTGATTGTTGTCATGGCACTTAAAAAAATATGCAATCATCCTTATTTGTTTACCAGTGAAAAGAATCAGATTTTAGACGAAGTTTTGCCAAATGTTCCAACAAATTTGTCTTCGATAAACACATCGTTGGCGTATTCTAGCAAGTTTAAAGTTGTGCAGTCAATTTTTCAAGAATTAAAAAGTACACAGGAGAAAATCGTTCTTATCTCGTACTTCACTCAAACTTTAGATCTGCTGGAAAAAATCTGTTGCTCTGAGCAGTTACAATTTTGTAGATTAGATGGAAATACACCTGCAGCTGCGCGCAATAAAATCGTTGATCGATTCAATTCCAAGGATAACTCTTGTACTCGTAAGTTAATTTTACTTTTATTTAAAAAAAATTTTGTTATCCAAAAACGCATATATCTGGTACGGTACGGAAATCTTATCTGCAAAGGTGTGTTCTTACTGAGTGCAAAAGCAGGAGGCGTTGGATTGAACTTAGTCGGCGCTTCAAGATTAATTTTATTTGATTCCGATTGGAATCCTGCAAATGACGCTCAAGCCATGGCTCGTATCTGGCGAGATGGTCAAAAAAGATCAGTATACATTTACAGGTATATGTACTTCTGAGCCAATGAATAAGTAAAAATTTAAGTGATTTTATTCAACTGGTTATTGTGATTTTAGGCTTTTAACTACTGGTACAATAGAAGAAAAAATTTATCAAAGGCAAATTAACAAAATGGGCTTAAGTGATGCTGTGATAGATGCCAATTACTTATCTTCTTTGAAATTATCCGCAAGTGAATTAAAAGTATGCATTGCTATGAAATGTCTTAAAATTATACGCTTTTATTGATGAACGAATTATTGATGAATTAAATTATTTTTAAGGATTTATTTACGTTGGATTCTCAGACTTTGTCAGTTACCCACGATTTAATGGAGTGCATTTGCAATGGTTCGGGTGATATACCTTGCAATGAAGTGACAGAAAGTCAGCAGTCAAATTCAGAAGATTCAAGGGACTGTCAGTTGGCACTCAAAAAAGCACAACCTCAACATCAAATAACAATAAACCAGTTGCTTAGTTGGCAGCATTTCAAGCAGCCTGTTTCTTTAGATTTACTTAAGGTATAATAAACTTACTAACTCGTTAGCCATATCATTTATCTGTATAATATTGAAATAATAATTATTTTCAGGAATTAATGTTACAACATGTTCAACAGTATGTTACATTTATTTTTAAAAATACAGTAGAAAAGTGAAGCCAATCATCGTCGCATTGGCTATTGTAACAAGGTAAAAAAATATACAATTTTCCATGCCCACTTATAAAAAACTTCGTAAAAAATGTTGTCTATTTCATAAAGTTATCAGAAATCCGTAATTTTATACACATATTCTTTATTTAATTATTGGTTTGAAAGAATACCTATATTTTACTCTTTTTTGCCATGAGTTTCATCATATTTTCTATGAGAGTTGGCGAGTTGTAGAAATTCTTGAGATTAGATAGCTCTTGTTCATTCACCTTTAAAAGCATATCGCGATTCCAGCGACTGAGTAGACTTTTGGTTGAAATCAAGCTCTGAAATTAAAATAACTTGTAAAAATTATAATAATTCAGGCTACTGTGGTTTCATTTAAAAAAAAGCTAATCAATACCTCTTTGGATAGAGTAGAAATTCTATCTAAATGTGCCCATATTTCCTTCACAGCATCAGACTTGTACACTTTGCTAACAAAGCCAATTCTTGCTGCCTCTTGAGCATTCAACTTTTCCCCAAAAAATAACATTTCCCCTGCTTTAGACGGCCCCATTATTCTTGGAAATGTATAAGATGAACATCCTTCTGGTGATAATCCTAGTTTACAGAAAGGAGTTAGGAAATAAGTCTGTTTGAAAAAAAAAATACAATTATGAAAAAACGATTGTACAAAAAAATAGTTTCATATGAAATCTTTTCTAAGAAAATTTTGCAAACCTTTTCTGATGCATAAATAATGTCAAATAGTGCCAAAGTAGTACACATTATTCCAATAGCAGGGCCGTTAACGATTGCCACCAAAAGTTTAGGATAATAAATCAATTGTTCAACAAATTTACTGAAAAAAAAAAAAATAATACTTATTTTTCTACCTTGGGGCATTTTTCGTGACATTCGAACGTTTACTTAGCCCTTGGTATAAAAAATAGCGTTTGTATACCTTAATATTTCCGTTTCGTCATCCACTCCAAGCGTTTCTTCCATGACATAACTAATGAAATCGTTGCCACTGCTATAAAAATCTCCATTACCAGTAATGGCAAACAAAGTGACCTCTTCATTAATGGCTGATTCAGCCAAAAGTCTCGTTAATTCACGGTACATCTGCAGTGAAATTTGTTGATTAGACCTTACACTTGTGTGCTTAAAAATAACTTGCATATGCTATTAAACTTTTATACTTAAAAAAAAAATTAATAAACAAATAAATTGACAAGTTAACCTGCACGTGGCAAGAACTTGTAAATGACGTTGCAATATCCATCAACAAGCAATCGAGTAATTATTATAATTGGCATGCTCACCTGCCGGTTGATCGCATTTTTTTTCCCTGGTCTGTTCAAAAATACCTTTTGAATTCCATTTTCAATTCTAGCGATTACAGATGGCTCCTGAGCGCCCGCCATAATTTATCCTTATAAACATGCATATGAACGATTAAAACAACTGTACAATATCTGGTTACAATATGCAAAATCAAACACTTACATGGGACCTAAAGCTATATACACAGTAAAAAATGACTTTAGTGGATTTACTATTTCTCTAGTAAAAATTCCTTCGTTCCGCGATGTAAAAGTACTAGTTTGTAGTGTTCTCACTAAACTTCTTGTAAATCTACTACTGCTGTTGTAATTTTACTATGCTTATTTAGCATGGGAAATAATCCGACCTATGCTGAACGTAGTAATTGTACTATACGCACAATAGTAACCAAATTTACTACCAAATAAGTAAAATTACAACTGTCTTGTAGTTTATTACGCTTCGCTAAGTATAATACCTATTCACGTAGTAAAGTTTACTTTTGGAGTACTTAGTAATTCGAAAAAGTGCAGATATTCATAACTCTCAAGCAAGTCATGGGGTAAAGAACCATGAGGTATTCTGTTTTTGCTTTTTCACATTGTTCACAAATCAATCGGTGCTGTGATCGATCTCCTTAAATAAAAAGTAGCGCAGCAATAAATCTAAGCATTTACAAAAAATAAGTCATTCTTACTATTAACAGTTACAAAATCTCATTAAACAAAAGACTTCAAACGTAATTTTAAAAAATTTAAATGTAATTTACATTATGCGCCAAAATTAAGTGTTAATTTGAGTATTTATAAGATTACATAAATTAAATAGTAGTTTTCCTACGAGTTTGAAAAGTCTCTGTTTGCGAACCGAGAGAAGTAACAGCCTCCCAAAACCACCCGAGGGCGGAAATAGTAGTTTTCCTACGAGTTTGAAAAGTCTTTGTTTGCGAACCGAGAGGTTTGCGGCCCGAGCCGAAGGCGAGGTCCGTAACGAGGTTCGTAAAGGAGACTTTTCGAACGAGTATCGGAAAACTGCTTTTTTGCCCGAGGAAGTACCAGCCTCCCAAAACCACCCGAGGGCGGAAAAATATTTTTCTTCATTTTCATGTATGAAAGTACAATATACTTTAAATTTAAGATTTCTTTTTATGCGTATTGATTTTACTACGATTGCGGTCACGCCATCTACTGCATACGTTGCATACTTACCACTACTTCAGTATATTTACTATTGGAATAGTAAAAAAACAACTCAGATACTACTCCCCCTTTTTAATTCTAGCCTTACAAAGTGGGAAGTAAATTTACTATCACAGTAGAATTTTTACTACTGCTGTAGTAAATATACCACGCTCAGCATAGGTCGGATTATTTCCTATGCTAAACGCAGTAATTTTACTACGATATTTGTTACTGTGTACGTGCGTCAAACGTCAGGTTTATAGGCGTTAGTACCTATATATATATATAGTAGCAGACGTCACCTTTGTGATCAGATCAGCTGTTTTTCCTCTTTTCGTAATGTTTTTTTCTTTTTTACCATTATATATATATATAATGCGCGTCGTAGTACGAAAATATCTCGCTGCTTGGCTGCTTGCGCGCGTGTTCTAACACTAGCGCTAATTATAACTTATGATACAGCTCAGTGTTGTTAAACAACTGGGAAATCATTGAGATTTGTTTAGAAGTATATTGTTCGTGTTTAAAGTGCATTTCTTCTGTATTTGTTTTTTAATAATTTTAAACAACCATATAATATGTTGCGTGATTTTTTTTTTTTTTTTTTTTTCATTCATCAACAACAAAATGTGTAATTTGTAAATGTTCATCTGTTTTGAATAAAATTTTGGATTTAGTAAACATAGGGAAAGGGCTAAAAATTATTGTACAACGATGAATATAAAAATAAATAAATGACAAATTAAGATGAAAAATTAGTCACGTGTGGTTGAAACAAAGTAGTGGTTTTTTTTTTCCAGGAGCATGTTTATATTAGGTAATTTTTTTATTTTTCGGGTGATACTAGATGTTAGAAATCCGTAAACATATAAATGATCAAATTAAAATGGTTACATGTTTTGGTCTGTAAGGTCAAAAAGTGTGAAACATTTGAAAAATCGACCAAAAAAAACTCATAGTTTAATTAAACTATTGAGTAAAGGTTCACTAGCTGTTTGCTCAATGCTTTTTTATTTTACGCGACTGATGAATGAGTTGTGCACGTTAAATGTAATTAAATTTGTTGGGAATGAAAGTTTAAATGGACCAAAACGTAAAGATTAAAAAAAGCAGGTATTTCAGAAAATAAATGTAATCGAGGATTAGAGCAGCACTGATGGCAGTAAACAATCAACTGGCAGATATAAATGTTAATAATTTATCAAATAATTCAGAAACATACGTACTACATTTTTAGTGAATACTTTACAATTTCTCTCGAGATGAAACTGAAAATGCCCAGCATCATGATGCGGTTTACACCAAGTTTATTTTAAAAAAAATTCTTTTTTAGTCTTAGAAAGATATTTTATAATAGATTTCGGCTTGACTTGAGTAAAAGAAAAAAAAAAAAAAAAATCAGAACAATAAACAACTT